CATCATCAGAATCATCATCATCATCAGAATCATCATCAGAATCATCATCAGAATCATCATCAGAATCATCATCAGAATCATCATCATCATCATCAGAATCATCATCAGAATCATCATCAGAATCATCATCAGAATCATCATCAGAATCATCATCAGAATCATCATCATCATCATCATCATCATCATCATCATCATCAGAATCATCATCAGAATCATCATCCGAATCATCATCAGAATCATCATCAGAATCATCATCCGAATCATCATCATCATCATCATCAGAATCATCATCAGAATCATCATCAGAATCATCATCATCATCAGAATCATCATCAGAATCATCATCAGAATCATCATCAGAATCATCATCATCATCATCATCATCAGAATCATCATCAGAATCATCATCATCACCGCTGTTTTCGTGGCAACGGCTTGTATTGTAGATCTCAAATCTCCCAACGCTCCTTGCGGAGGGAGTCTCCACAGGTCCCTTGACATCCTTGACAGAAAACGGACATTGCTCTGTCAGGGTGTTTCTACCTTAATTCCAATTTTGCCTTAAAATGTTGCTATAAAGCTGCCCAGCAGTGGCATGCACCAAAATATCATCCAAAATAGAAAAACACATGATTGATAGTGACTGTAGAAACTGCAGAGCGCATGTCATTACAAAAAAAATGCGGGCGACATCTAATTCATGGCAACAAATTGCAACATGCACCACAAGCTCTGGCGAGGCATTTTGCACACTACTAAGTTGCCCGGCATCTTTCGCCAGCTGGCTTGAGAGGTCTGCGAGCCTAAAGGGTGGGTGGAAGAGTTGCAGTTGCGGTGCAAGACTCTCCGATCTCATCAAGTTGCACTTCGATACAAAATGCAAGCCACTGCGCAGTTTCTTTGAAGGATCATGTTGTTTTCCCTGTGCCGTGAGACTTGTTCTCAGTGCACTCGCCTGCTTGAACTAGGCAAGTCACATTATACCAGGGTCAACGGGTATGTCCTCCAAGTCTTCATCGCTGTCATCATCCCTGCCAAGCGGATGGAGAGCCCTTCATTTTTTTCTCGGCGTTTCCTTCTCTGCAACACTTCCCTACATCAGTTTGGGCCTCCTTCTTCCTTTTTTTCCCTTGCCTTTGCGAAGAGTTTCCTGTCTAACATTTGCGTGTTTGATTTCCAAAAGTTTGTCCACTAAGCTGCACTTAGACATTATCATGGCAAACAAAGAATGGCATGATCATACCAGCAGTTGTTGGCTACAGGTTTGAGTCGTTGACAACATTGCAAAAGGAACAGTAACTCGGTTCCTGTTCTTCTTGAACCTTCTGCTTCTTTCTTTCAATAGCCTCGCGGCCGAAAGGCATGTCGCAATTTGTGCCGCAAATTACACACCCCGCATGGTATCTTCAGTGTTTTGGCATGTCTCACGTTGGCTGAACGAACCGGGCAAGAGTTTAAAACATGTTTTTCAACAAATATGTATGACTATGTATGGTTGTGCATGATTTTGTATGATTATGTATGACTATGAAAAATTTTGTATGATTATGTACCAGCAGTGCCGCACAAGGCGGTGGCGAAAATTTCAAGAAGAGACAACTATAGGAGAGGTGAGTTGTTGTGATGCACGGATGGCAGAGCGAATCCATTGATGGACCGAAAGGTGGTTGGAGTTGTGTTTTTTGGGCTTGCAGCGGTCAACTCACCAGCAACTGCTGAATGTAGTGTGGAGTGGTGTGGTGTGGCGTAATGTAGTTGTAGCTGTAGTTGCAGTCGTAATTGTAGTTGTAGTTGTAGTGTGGCTGAAGTTGAAGTTGTACTTGTAGTTTGTAGCTGTTGTTGTAGTTGTAGTGTAGTGGTAGTGGTAGTTGTAGTTGTAGTGTAGTTGACGTTGAAGTTGAAGTTGAAGTTGTAGTTGTAGTTGTTGTTGTAGCTGTAGTGTTAGTTGCAGTTCTAGGTGTAGCTGTAGTGTAGTGTAGTGCAGTTGAAGTCGAAGTCGAAGTTGTAGTTGTAGTTGTAGATTGCAGATGTAGTCGCAGTTGCAGTTGTAGTTGTAGTTGTAGTTGTAGTGCGTTCGAAGTTCTAAAGTTGAAGTTGCATTTGCAGTTGTTGTAATGGTTGCAGTTGTGGTTGTAATGTGTTGTTGTAGAGTGTGGTGTGGTGCGGTTGAACGTCCAAAAGTGGTCCGAACATGTGGTGCTTGTAGCATGTTCACTTCCAAATGTGCTTCGCACCACAACACCGTGCACGTTTCAACATCTCAACTTCCAAAAGTGCTCCGAACCCATCAGTTGTCACACACCGGACCTCGAAATGTGCTTAGCGCCACAACGGCGTGCACTTTTTCAACATCTCAACTTCCAAAAGTGCTCCGAACCTGGCGTGTTTTTACGAAATGCGCTTCGCGCCACAACGGCGTGCACTTTTTCAACATCTCAACTTCCAAAAGCGCTCCGAACCTGGTGTGTTTAACACACCAGACTTCGAAATGTGCTTCGCGCCACAACGGCGTGCACTTTTTCGACATCTCACCTTCCAAAAGTGCTCCGCAGTTGCCATGCTTTTAGCATTTTGACTTGGAAATGTGCTTCGCGCCACAACGGCGTGCACTTTTTGAACATCTCAACTTCCAAAAGTGCTCCGGCGCTGGTGTGCTTTGTAAATTTTGACTTGGAAATGGGCTTCGCGTCAAAATGGCATGCAATTTTTCATCTCTCATCTCCCCAGGTGGCTCCACACCCGCCGCTTTAGCGAGCCTTCGACCCTCCGGAGCCACAAATCATTGGAAAACACTGTGTGTCGCGACTTTTCTACCTTTTCACGCGCCTGCATCTTCTTTCTTCTGACTCTTTCTCTTCTCTAATCTTCTTTCTTCTTCTCTTCTCTTCTCTGACTCTTCCCACCTCTGCTTTTCCACCTGTCCGTCCATATTGTCGGAAGTTTGACTTCTAAACTTCCTTCGATGATTTTGAATATGTATGATTATGTATGATTGTTTATGATTGTTTGTTTGTTTGCTTGCTTGCTTGCTTGCTTGCTTGTGTGTTTGCTTGCTTGCTTGCTTGCTTGCTTGCTTGCTTGCTTGCTTGCTTGGTTGCTTGGTTGCTTGGTTGCTTGGTTGCTTGGTTGCTTGATTGTTTGCTTGTTTGCTTGTTTGCGTGTTTGTTTGTTTGCTTGTTTACTTGTTTACTTGTTTGTTTTTCTGGTCTGTCTGGTCTGTCTGGTCTGTCTGGTCTGTCTGGTCTGTCTGGTCTGTCTGGTCTTGTCTGGTCTTGTCTGGTCTTGTCTGGTCTTGTCTGGTCTTGTCTTGTCTGGTCTCTCTGTCTGTCTGTCTGTCTGTCTGGCTGTCTGGCTGGTCCTGTCCTGTCTTGTCTGTTCTGTCTGTTCTGTCAGTTCTGTCTGCTCTGTCTGTCTGTTCTGTCTGTTCTGTCTGTTCTGTATGTCTGTACGTCTGTGCAGTCGTATGTGTATATATATATATACGTATACATATGTTACATACATACATATATGTGCAATCGTACATGCAATTGGTTTCTCGAGTGGAACCCAAAATTTCCGAAAGCTGACACGTTTAACATATTTTTTTGTCAGGTGAAAAATGACGGAACACGAAGAACCATTATGAAAAAATGATTTAAAACATGCTGAAAGATGATGAAAATGATGACAAATGATGGAAAATGATGACGAGTTATGAAAAGTAATGAAAAGTGATGAAAAGTGATGGAAAATGATGAAAAGTGATGAAAAGTGATGAAAAGTGATGAAAAGTGATGAAAAGTGATGGAAAGTGATGAAAAGTGATGAAAAGTGATGAAAAGTGATGAAAGTGATGGAAAATGATGACGAGTTATGAAAAGTAATGAAAAGTGATGAAAAGTGATGAAAAGTGATGAAAAGTGATGAGAAGTGATGAAAAGTGATGAAAAGTGATGGAAAATGATGACGAGTTATGAAAAGTAATGAAAAGTGATGAAAAGTGATGAAAAGTGATGGAAAGTGATGAAAAGTGATGAAAAGTGATGGAAAGTGATGAAAAGTGATGAAAAGTGATGAAAAGTGATGAAAAGTGATGAAAAGTGATGAAACATGGCTAGGTCTCCACAGGCCATTCATGCTCCAAATTCAGCACTAAGACAATGAATTGAGAAGAAGAAGTCCATCTTGGTCTTTGAGAAAGTTTTTAGGCTCCGGCCCATAATATATGAATCGAAAACTGTGATCTCATGAAGGCCTGGTGTGCCGCTTATCCGTATCTAAATTCTCTGCGCAGCTGGCCTGGCGTTCAGCAGCGGCTCGCTGCTCTTCAGCCATTCGTGCCAGGTTCTGCAGTCGGCGTCGCAAGGCTTTGGACATCTTTGGACATTCACACAGAATCTACACGACAACCAACTGACATCGGCACTGCGCCACATACATTGCCGACTTGGCCATTTCCTACCACCAAACGCCCCAATCATAGTACTCCTTCACCTCTCGTGCAAAATGCGATGAAGTCATCGGCCTTTTTGTGTGCTTCTTCCGCCTCCCTTTGCCTTCTTTCTTCTGCAGCAATCTTTTCAGCCTGCAGGTGTGGTGACAAAAGTGTTGGAGTCGAGAAATTGCCAATCGATTATTCTGTGATAGTCCAACCAGTCACAAGATTCACAAGTACGGCAATCTGTTGCACCACTCTTGGTTTCAGGCTCAACAAGCACATTTATGGACAAGTTCACATAGTCAATCTCAGTCTTGCATGTTTCATGTGTGGTTGTGCACAGGTTCTTCCACGGGTTCATTCGTGCACGCGATCACTTTCCTGCAAGGACCGTCACCCGGGACATCCACACGACTCGCACGACTGCGCAGCGTCTCACAGCTTCTCACAGGTGTCCCCGTCGCCAACTGGGCCTCCACTCGTAGCCTTTCCTCCTCTCGGGCCTTGTCCTGGCGAGCCTGCTCTGCTGCATCTGGAGTCAGCAGAGCCTCCTTGGCGCTCGAGCGGCTCAACCACCGACTCAGACTGTGAATGTGGAATGATGTAGCGTCAAGAAGAACATAGAAGAACCAACATTCAGTGAGAGAACGAGCATGTGAGGATGTGAGGATGTGCATGTGTGTGGAAAAATATGTATCAAAGGTCCAGCTTCAACACGTACAACCCAACATTCAACCGATTGCAGGGGACATACATGCCAACGAAGCTACGCACCATGGTGAAAGCTAGGGCTGATTAATGCTGATTACCTTGGTGCACCTCCTCAGACTAGTCGTGGTGTTGTCAAGCTGTTTTCCTACTTTCTTTAGAATCTTAGAACTTTAGAATCTGTCAATCGACCAAGGGTGAATTTTTGTAGATGGCATTGGGGCAAGGCCAAAAAAAAAACAGCGTGCTGAAGCATGTCTCAGTTCATCTCATTTCACCGCCTCCCTTCTGCGTGTTCCTGAGAGAGTGTGTGTTTGTGTGTACCTGCTCATGTTTGTGGGTGGGTTTTTGTGCGTTTGATAGCATGCGTGCCTGCCCGTGTTTGATGAAGTTGTTAAGGTTTTGGTGGTGCCAAGGTGATGTTGTGGTTCCATTTTTTCTGCTAGGGGAGAGATGTTTGAAGAGCCACTTGCACTTCACAGTCGAGGACGCAAGAAACCAACTGAGAGCTGAGCGTGAAAGCCAGTGCGCATCGGTGCCCTAACTTCATTGGAGGTTGTGTGCTCCAAGCCTGCCCGCAGAAGAAACATCAAATTGCGCAGAAGTTGAGACTAAACAGTTTCAAACTCACCTTTCGCATCGGTAAGTTGACATTCAGAACAGAACATGCAGACTGCAAGCAAACATCGCTTTCCATACCAGATCGTCGCTTTGGACACCTATACGGAGAATCGTTGACGTTGGGTCATTTTAGGATGTATTAAATGATTTTAAATGACATATGTCTTGTAGCGATTCATATTATACTATGTATATACAGTATTATACAGTATGTTACATAATAGTGTATAATGTCAGCGTATATAGTAATATAGTAATTCAATTTCTTTATATCATGGGATTTGCTTTATACAGGATATGTGAGGACTTCACCCAGGGTGGCCGAGGCCCAGTCCGGTAGGAGCCGTACTAGCTGCAGCTAGGTCAGCTGTAGCTGGCACAGGAGCAGCAGCTACTGGCACCTGAATGACTAGAGCAGCATGATGCGACAAAAAAAAAACATAAGCCACCAAGTGGCTGGCAGAGGCTCGTAGAGCAAACGATCTACGAAAAATTACCAAAGACATGCGTATTTTGAGCCATGGATATCATGTGATGAACGCATGCATTACCATACATTCGTAGATATCTACATTATCCGCGCCCTACGTAGAATTACGGTTGCAAAGCAAACCCTTCACCATGTCAAAGCCTGTGTCAACGTCAAAAAGTGTTGAAAATCAGCGCCGTGTAACGAGCACTGCAACCCAGCTGGACGAAATCATTATGCTCAACTGGAGGTGATTGTAGTTTGCATGCCAAGGGAAGTGATGTGCAGTGAGCATTATGATGTTTGTACATCGCATACTCTAGGGTGCAAGTTGTATGCAGTTGGAATTTGCATGGATACTTTGGAGCGTCGTGCTCCAGCCTCTACATATGCAGCAAGGATGTTTGCATCTTTCCTGGGATTTGATACGTATGTCAAGAGTTTTCAGGAGTAACCAGAAGAAAACGGATCCCAAAGAACATAAAGAACAAGGTATGATGGATCAGGCGTTAGAAAGCAAGAACCTTCTGAATTCAACAAAAAAAACAACAGGATGCAACATGATCATGATGCAACTCTGTCCAAGTTCATCCATCATCCCTCTGATCATTTTCCATAGTACTGTCCACCTGGCGCATCTGGGCGCCAGGCCCCATCACCAAGAATCACTGCAGCTGCTGCTTGGAGATCCCAGTTGTTGGCTACCAACACCTTTCAGAAAGGTGTGACGGAGGGGAAGGAATCATGGAATGCACAGCACGCAAATCTGTGCCACTTGGCAGCCGGCCTCTCTCGCAAAGTCTAAATCAGCTCCTTCACCGATGGTTTCAAGAAGTCGAGCCAGCCTTGGTCTTGGCACAAGGCTAAAACTCTTATGCGCATAAGCAATGCTCGTCCCACATTGCCCTCTTTTTCATGGCATGTATGTGAAATGTATGCATCTGTGGATTTTTGACCACACCCACATAGTCATTTTCGTTTTGGCAAGAACAAAGGGCCAGTTTCGTACACCATTTACAATATTTACAATAACTTGCCCTCTTGCGTAATGGGGGCCGCCCGCTATTACTCACTCAATCAACCAATCAACCCATCGACCAATCAACCAATGAATCAACCAACCAATCAATCAACCAATAGGAAAAGTATGGAAAAGTAAATCTGTGCGCCACCGTGCGCGCGCCAACACGCAAACACACACCCACACAGACACACACACACACTGCTTAGAGTAATTACTTACTCTGAATTGGAACTTTTAAGTGATGAGGTTGTTATCGCCTTGAGGGTTCCCAAGTAATCATCCTGATGCAGCAGACTGAGATAGAATGATGTACCTTTACCTGCAACAGCCTGAAATCAAACATATAAAATTGATCACTGACTTCAATTTAGAAACTCTTACCCGCATGACGATTAGCGGGTTTCACACGCACTCTCACACACTGTTACACACACTTGAACAGTTGTGGGAACGAAGCCCCCAGCCAAGTTCCAGTTGTTATCATGAACCCCGATTCGGTTGAAAAGGATGCAACACACGCGCACACATGCAGTTGCTTTACCAAGTTGACCTTTCTCTTCAAGCAAGACACCAAAGAGTCCCAAAGAGGATGATAGGTGAGTTGTACACATCTCTGAGGCCGTTGCTTCACATCTCTGTCCATCTTGAAAGCTCTGGGCACTGGGCACGGCTTGAGGTATTGCTTCAACCTGGAATACTATCTATGTTTAGCCTCCCAACGCTTGACCACCTCAAGCTCACCAGCTCACCAACCAGCTTGGTTTGCCCGTTAGCGGCTATTAACGTTGTATAGCATTGTACAGCTGAGGACTTCTACAGATTGATGGTTGTGCTTGTGGCTGCTCGAAAAGGTTGAAGTCCAGCAACCTCAAACTTTTTCACTTTCAGGTTGGTTCTAGATATGTTTTGTTTACTTTTGAAACTTTCAACTGTTAATTCTCTATTCATCCTTTGCTTGATCTGCAGATTGGAAGGAGCAGGGCTTCCCAGCTTCGAATATGCACATTCATGCACAGGTACGGTCCATAAATTGCCCGCAAAACGTCGGACACTGTTCTTTTTTTCATCACGCTGCTAAGCTTCCACCATGGGGTGCGGCAGTGCCTGCACTTTCCAGCACAGGCAAAAAGCTGCTTGACTTTGAAGACTTGCAGCTTTGCCACAGCCCTTCTCGATCCTCGAGTGGCTGAGTGCACTCAAAATGCCATTAAAGTTTCGCAAAGTTTATAGCCTCCCCAGAAAAGGGACCAGAATGGCTCTAAAACGTGAAGACAATCGATTTCCAGGAAACTGCTTCGTACTAGTATCTGACTTTTCCAGGTGGCTATTGATACGGTACCAAGCACACCTGCCGCCCTGGACGACAGACGGTAGCATGAAAATAATAAAGAAAACTGCTTCGCAAAATGGTAACGGAGCTCTGGTTGCTCTGGTTGCTTTTCTGTTGGGTGTCTGCCGTCCGAAAGCACAGCTTATTATGATGTTCCTTGACACGGTGGCATCTTTCAGGCCGCACTTTTGGCTGCACATTTGCAAAAGCTTCCTGCGGGAAGTGCCTTCAAAATCACATCACGCGCGGATTCATCGACTTCTCTTACAAAAATTGTATGTATATATATATATATACATAAATACATAAATAAATAAATAAATAAATAAACAAATAAATACGCAGGTGAAGAAATAAATACATGTAAAGAAAAAATACATCGATGAACAAATAAATACATGTAAAGAAAAAAATACATAGAAATAAATACATAATACATCCATGAATACATATACGTAAAAGCATTGTACATGTACATAAATACATCTAATACATCTACATACAGACAGTAAATAAATATGAAATACATTTAGATATATTTATTTAAATACATACACATAAGTACATGTGCAAAATAATTACACATAAAGACATACGCATGAAAACATATCCATAAAGACATATGCATATAGAGACATATACGTACATAAATGCACATACACAAACATATATATGCATGTACACATATACGCATATACGCACATACACACATACACACACATATACACATAAACATATACATATTGTGCATTGACATAATATGCCTTGGCAAAAATATGAAACTAATTGTGGTATATTGTGGTTTGCTAATGTTTGGTATGGTTTTATCATTTTGGCTGAGCTGTTACGCAGTGCGATGTGTCTAGCCCTCTTCTGCGGCTTCACCCTTTTCACCTTTGTCCTTCTTCTTCTTAGCCTTCTTGGGGTTTGCCTTGGAGTTCTCAGTCCCGCAGCTGTCAACTCTGTCAACTGTGTCAACCATTCAAAGTCTCCTGATGTCTTCATATTTTTTTTATGTGTTCCGATGTGTTCCGTACATGTTTCTTCTGCCGTATTCACCAGCGTTCAAAGTTAAAGGTTTGGAGCCCCACCGAGGTCGCCAGAAGCTTCTTCATGTCTTCATCCACAACTGATAAGCTTGAGGCAGCCTTAAACGAAAATAAAAGAATGACAAGAACACCCGAGCACAATCCCTAGCTCCCCTAGATTGAACAAATTGCAACTTGACAAGAAAAATCAGGAAAACATGATTGCAGTATGCAGTGTGGATCTCAACAGCGCCTGTGTGTGTGTGTACAGCCGAAGGTTTCAGATCACCATTCGCATTAGACAACATGATCAACGTGCCTGCTCTTGGAGAGAGCCCAAGGACAACCCGGTAATCTTTTTAGTGCCACCGGGCAGCAGCAACCTGGGTATCCAGGTATCCGTTTTTCTGTCATCCAAGATGGGCTCTGGGTGGGCCACTGTGGTTGCTTGGAGAGTTGGAGAGCACATGTCAATGTGGAGTCAAACGCTTAAAAAAAATGACAAGAGCAGCTGCTCAACGAACTGTCTGCCAGCAAACAAGCTACGGTTTGGAAGTTTGGGACTGTCTGATCTGTCTGTCCCTGCTTGTGATTGCTTGTCTAGGCTTCCTGCAAGGTGAACTTGAACTGTGACACAAACTCCTTAGTGATGGAACTGTTCGCACGTGGGTCCTCCTTCTCACACACAGCAGAAGTGCTTGCCATTTCCTTCCAGTGTTCCACTCCCTTCCACACTCATGACCGGGTGCCCACTTGTGCAAGCAAGCTGTCTTTCGATGTTGCTCCAACCTTCTTAGTTGTGCTCCAACCCACTTAGTGGTCAAGCCATTTCCGCCCTTTTCCAACAATTCCACATCTTGGAACGCGTCCCACGTCTTTCGTTCCACGTGTCATAACTGCAGCCGAAGGGCATTGTTGGCCTCCTTCAACACAGGATACCTGATTCTGATCATTAACTATATATATACATACATATGTATAAAAATCTGATAATTTATGTGATACGTTGAAATGTATGCCTGGCATCGTCGGTCCTCTCGATCCTGGGCCACCGACTCATCTAGAAGTTCGTGCCGTCTGGCCTCTGAGACACCCACTCTTGCCACCTGCAGTGCAAAATCACCGGGAGAAACGAATAGAAGTGCCCATGCTTTCCCAATATCAGGGGATCAGAGACTGAATACAATTTGTGGCTCACGGGACACAGCTTGGTTTTGGATTTTCTGCAATGCAGGCAGCACCTTTGTAACTTGTAACGAAAGGTACAGTAACAGATTTGTCATCCATTAGCAGGGCTTCATGACACGCCTGCTCGTCTTCGATGGCACGCAGAGTGAAGGGCAACACAGGGAAGCGCTTCTGCACCTCCACATCAAGTGCACGAGAAAAACTAGCAGTAGCATCAAGTGGAGGGGCGATGCATGACTGCACTGTGATCCGAATGCTTCTGATTTGATATCAAATATCCAAGCCGTCCAAGCCTCTGAGATGAACTGTCTGGCTTTCTGTGTCTTTAAACTGTACATGTTTTCCACCTCCAGCAGCGCTGCATTTTTTCCGATATGCTTCCCATGAACTAGACAACATTGGACAACTAAACCACCACGCTCATGGTCAGAGCTATCAGCTGATATCAACTGATATCAACTGATATCAACTGCTGATCTGCTGAGTGCTGGGCCGCTCTCTTGTAGACAGTATTTCTGATCTCCGTCTCCTTGCCTCGGCCTGGCACTGGCATCCACCATCTGCATCTGTTGTCTGCATCCCAGCTGCCTATCTCCTCCGGTATACAAAAGACAAACATATTCAAAATATAAACAGTTACAAATCATTACAAATCATTACAAATCATTACAAAAAGTGCAACCATACAATTGCACGTACATCCAAATCAGCAAATATCCACACATTCCAGTCGTGCAAAGCAGCTAACGGAATGGCGGAAGAAATGGGTGCGGAATTTTTTGGGGATTTTTTTTTTCTTGTTTTGGGAATTTTATTTTTTTTTGGTCGTGGGCACGGTTTCCTCACTTTTTCCTTGTTTTCCATGACTTTTCCTTGGTTTTCATTGGTTTTCCTTCATTTTTCCTCACGTTTTCCTCGTTTTCCAGTATTTTTCTTTGGTTTTTCATAATTTTCCTCACTTTTTCATCGTTTTCCATTACTTTTTCCTTTGTTTTTCATCGTTTTCCTCACTTTTTCATCGTTTTCCATTACTTTTTCCTTGTTTTCCATGACTTTTCCTTCGTTTTTCATTGGTCTTCCTTCATTTTTCCTCACTTTTTCATCGTTTTCCATTACTTTTCCTTAGTTTTTCATAATTTTCCTCACTTTTTCATCGTTTTCCATTACTTTTCCTTGGTTTTTCATCATTTTCCTCACTTTTTCCTCGTTTTCCATTATTTTTTCTTAGTTGTTCATTGGTTTTCCTTCACTCCCCTCACTTTTCCTCGTTTTCCATTACTTTTTCTTTGGTTTTTCATCATTTTCCTAACATTTTCTTTCCTTCCTCAATAAGAAAACAGGAAGGGGGTATGGGGGAGAGGGCTGAGGAGAACCAGTAGCGTCCACTCAGAATCAGCTAAAGCGTCTTCCCAGGCAACCTTATATACAGATATATAGATATATAGTGGCATATAGATATATAGATATATATATATATATAGATATATAGATATATAGATATATAGATATATAGATATATAGATATATATATAGATATATAGATATATAGATATATAGATATATGTATATGTATATATATAGAGATATAGATATATAGATATATGTATATAGATATATAGATATATAGATATATAGATATATAGATATATGTATATGTATATATATAGAGATATATATATATAGGGATATAGATATATAGATAATTATATACATATATAGATATATAGATACAGCCATAGATGTAGATATAGATACAGATATAGATAGATAGATATAGATAGATATAGATAGATATAGATAGATGTAGGTATACATGCATGACTAATCATGACTATATGCATATGTAGATCAATGTATTTACAAGTGTAATCAATATATCTGCCGGGTTTGGTTTTAGGGTTGGTTTTAAGGTTTTTTTAGGGCTGGTTTAGAGTCTGTTTAGGGTTTGTTTAGGGTTGGATTAGGGGTTATTTAGGGATACAATATGTACATACAAATAACTATACTTATGTGGACGCATATGCATGCACATGATTATTTACAGTTTATTTTGGGATACAACATGCACATACAAATAACTATTTTTTGTGGACGCATATGCATGCACATGATTATTTACAATGTATTGGGATGAAAGCTGTGTATATAAACAACCATATGTATATATATATATATACAATATAAATATATATATATAGTCTAACCAAACTAGTGTATTGAAATGTGTGCAAGTTTGAATTTAAATAAAAAAAAGCGGGAGGGGGGGGATTGGGGGAGAGGGCGCAGCGCCTCCCCCCCAAAGCAGATTGGAAACACCTATTTTCACATGCAAGGTGCTGGGTTGAATGTGATACTCAAGTTAAGGTGTATATACTACACGACATGCACCTTGGAAACATGTGGAATGTAGATTAAGGCACAACGATGCACAATAGTTTCATTTGATGTTATCATCGAGTTGGTTTAAGATCTCTTTATATAAGCTTTGGTTCAGGGTTGGCTTGGGGTTTGAATATCATCCCGATGATAATGCAAACCTTTTAGATAGATAGATAGATAGATAGATATATAGGTATATAGATTTAAAGATATATAGATTTAAAGATATATAGATTAAAAGATATAGGAATATAGATATATAGATATATAGATATATAGATATATACAGATATACAGATATATTGATATATAGTGGTATATCGATATATAGATTTAACTATAGATATAAATATACATATATATATATATAGAAATATATGGAGATATATAGATATATATAGAGATATATAGAGATATATATATATATACATATAGAGATATATAGAAATATAGAGATATATAGATATATATATATATAGATATATAGATAAATATATACATATATAGATATATAGATATATAGATACAGCCATAGATGTAGATATAGATACAGATATAGATAGATATAGATAGATATAAATAGATATAGATAGATATAGATAGATATAGATACGTAGATATAGATAGATATAGATAGATATAGATGGATATATATAGATATAGATAGATATAGATAGATACAGATAGATATAGATAGATATAGATAGATATAGATAGAAATAGATAGATACAGATAGATATAGATATAGATAGACATAGATAGATATAGATAGAATCAAGTAGATAGATAGTTTGATAGTTAGATAGATAGATAGATAGGCAGATAGATAGTTAGATAGATAGATAGACAGATAGATAGATAGACAGATAGATAGACAGATAGATAGATAGATGGATGGATGGATAGATAGATAGATAGATGATACTCAAGGTGTATCTAATGCACAACATGCACCTGGTGAACATGCTTCACTGATAGATTGATCGATAGATGATAAATGAGCCATAGGAGCGAGGAGCTCTAGGAGCCAGGAGCCATAGAAGCCACCAGGAGCCACCAGGAGCCGCAAAAGCCACCAGGAGCCACAAGGAGCCGCAGAAGCCACCAGGAGCCACCAGGAGCCACAGAAGCCACCAGGAGAGGAGGAAAAAAAAAAAATACCCCCCCAAAAAAAAAATACATTCCCAAATTAAATTACCCTCCAATGAGAAACGACGAAGGAAATGGACAGTTGCCTGCCTTCACCGGTGGACATAACAATGTCAATGCTATACACCTCGTTCAGCTCAAACTCGAACTCCTCCACCTCATCCACAAGGCACGCATGTGTGATTCAGGTCAGGTGGAACATACGCTCAAACAAATCAGATGCAAGTATTACATGACTCTTAAAGTCACTTGACGTCAAATGAGTCTCTAAACCTGGGTAATTCAGTGAGACCATAGTTGATTCAAAAGGATTCAAAAGGCTGCACCTTCTCCTCAGGTGTCTCCGCACAAATGATGGTTCGGTTTCCATCAATCACGTGCTTCTTCAGCTGGTGGGAGAGAACACCTGGAGCACAGTTGACATAAATACGCCTTTCATGCAAACTGCTTGCATGCTGCTTCAGATGCCTGACGAGCTGGTGAGCATGTATCCATTGCCACGTGCGTGCCAAACCCTAAACGCTTCATTCATCTAATGGGAACCCTTGGAACCCATGGCAATCCATGAGAACCCAAGGTTCTCATTTCTCCACTTTTGCCGCCATTACTAAAACGAGAGACCAGAGATACGAGTAAGATAAAGAGCGTGAACCCAGTGGACAAGTCACTCTCCAATAAGGCACCTTGCATAGGCTTCACCTTGAAGTCCTCGGCGATCTTTGCAAAAGCTTCAGTGACCTGATCAATGGACACATATGCAACACATCCCCACTCTCGCTATGTGTATGTGTCCTAGTGTATTTCTACTTGAGAGGCTGTTTGGAGATGAGTTCGCGCTCGTCTCTGACCTGATCTCTGCCAAGACTGCAAGACCAGAAGTTTGACATAAGTCGGTATGTTTGGATTTAGTTTATAATGTTCATTATGTTCTTATTTTTTTCATATTTGTTCCAAGATTTGGAACCCGATGTGACCCCGGAACAGCCTGGGAGTTCTTGTTGCCAACCTGCACTAGGCGGAGGGCTGCCTCTCGTGCAGAGCAAAATCTGGATGGACAGGCAAGTACTCAGAGAGCTTGCAAAGGATTGCAAAAAGAGTTGCATGGAACTGGACTTTGTAGCCCTTCACAACATAATCTAGAAATAACATGAAGTAGTTAATATTAATATAATATTAATTAAAATAAATTAAAGTGGCAAGTTCCATACTTCAAGCACCAAAATGGCTCAAGTCTCTTCCTGTGCCTCTGCTGCATTCCAAGCAGCCATGATGACATCTGCTTTTCTGTCAGTGACCTTTCCAAACTGAAGTTCTCAACTACCAAACTAAAGTTCTCAACTAGCTTCTTGCATTGACCATGAATTCGAAGACTCTGGAAAGGATTCTGCTATGCTCCGCTGTAACTTTCCCAAGAAGCAAGCTTTTTCACCACCCACAATGATAGTGTGAGCGGCTGATGCAATGAAACCTCCGGGAATGTTCAAACGGGCAAGGTTCGAAGCACTGTAAAATCTGTAAACAGAGCAGAAAAACTTATTACCAGTTCAAACCTGCACAGCCATGTTAAAATGATTTAAAATGGTTAGATAGAACATGTTAGAAATTAGAAGCCATCCTATGCTATCCTAGCATTCCTAGCAAATGTTTCTGAGTTGAAGGAATCGATTCACAAGGACCTCAAATAAACATAACTGCAAAAATCTGATACGGGTCTGCCAGTGCCAAAGTTGGCACCGTCAATGTGGCATGCCAGGTCAATCTTCGCAATGTCGCCCGCTTTCAGCAACCTACGCAAGAGCCACTAAGAATTCCAAACAGAGTCATGAGTGATACTGGAGGAGGACCGAGAAAAAAACAACTTTGTAATGCAAGACATTTGCAAACTCCCTTCCCTGCCTAGATTCGCCCTGAGATGGAATGACATGAAATTTCACACAAGGCTGGATAGTCACATCCGTCTTTGGCACCAGTTCCCCATTCTGTTGTTGCAAAAAACAAGAATACCAGGACTGTGCGCTGAGATTTCCGCTGGCAATGGAGAGAAGTGACCGACAATCTCATTCACAGAGACGCAGGTGGGGAAGGCAACGCCCTCACATTGACATCGTGTTGTTCAATCGTGTTCAGAAACTTGAAACTAATCCGCTAGAAGGATCAATAACAGCAGCATTCTCCGGCCCCAAAAGGACGAACGAGCTTAACGAGTTTGACCTAAAATACTTAAATTACAGGTTTGTTGCCCTCAACACGTTGACCAACTTGTCGAGGGCTTTCCGGCCCTGAAGGCTTGCGCAGAATACAGCGTGTTTCAATTCATCTTTTAACTTGTAACGAGCACCGCTGAGCCAATGTAGTTCACATCAAATTCATGCACGAGTCATAATTCGGAGACCAACAATCCAACAGTCTATGTATAGTTCCAGCCTTCGCAGGAATCCGGCGGATACGCTCCACATAATACAGTAGACATAGGCAGTATGGGTCGGATACAAGGGATACTCTTGAAAAATCTTGAAAAGGCAGACAGCTCTTAAATGAGTGTTCTTCCCCCGGGTGGCAACTGTATCCAACGCCGTTAGTTTTGACAATGTTGCAGAGAACATGAGTCGATTCAATAGCATACCATTCTACAGGCATATGAATACATATCCAATTCTTCGGCAAAACAAGAACCCTCACGTTTTGCCTTCTCCATTTTTTTCCCCTCTTTATCTTTTTTGTTGTACAGCTTTCCAGTCCTTGGCGCATAAGATCCAGAGAATCCTGTTGCAAAAAAAAGAAAAAACAATCACGACCAGCGATCTTCAGTAGCCGGCTCTTCCTCCATGATCTTGTCTCCCATCTCGCAAAGCATAACCTGCTTTTTTTGGTCAGGCACATTATTTATATCTATGTATCTATCTATCTATCCATCCATCCATCCATCCATTGATCTATCTATCTATCTATCTATCATTCAATTCTATTCTATTCTATTCTATTCTATATTCTATTCTATATTCTATTCTATATTCTATTCTATAGTCTATTCTATATTCTATTCTATAGTCTATTCTATATTCTATTCTATAGTCTATTCTATATTCTATTCTATATTCTATTCTATTCTATTCTCTATTCTATTCTATTCTATCGATCTATCTATCCATCCACCCATACATCCATCTATCCATCAAGCACAGAGACAAGCACAATTTGCACACAATTCCAATCAGCATTCCAAACATTCCTAACAAGGCGGGGCACGACGTCAGCATCGGGCACACAGGCTTCCACGACCTTCTGGAGCGCCTGATCGAGATTTTTACAGATTGGCTAGGGGTGACTGATGGTGACTGCAAACTGCACTCACGTCGGTTGATTTGTTCATGCCTTGTTCACAATATCTCCAGCTGCTCGATACTTGGTAGTGACCTTCGCTGTTGAACGCATCCCAGAGCATCAGTCATGTGCACTGTAAAGGTCAAACATGCACTGCACTGGACGCTTGTTCTGCAGGCTGCATTTCGTGGTAAAGTCAGAGTTGCTTTTCAGGGTCAACTTCTACTGGGGATCATGCGTCAGGGTTGGACAGGTCACTGATTTCCTCGTTCCTCAGAACACTGCAAATGCGAAATGCATGTTCAAGTGCAAAATGCAGGATGCAGGCGGAGCCAGATGGACGCCTTCTGCTTGCGATGTGTTAACGGTCTGCTTGCTTTGCATTGCAGTCCACTCTGTCCACTCTCAGCTCCCCGCTCAGATTCGTCGGACATGGCTGAAAGGCTAGGACGGCGCTCGCTCAAAAAAAAGCCTGGACAAAGGGGGGAAATGCTGAGAAAGGCATCCGCCAACCCCAGGCTGCTGCAGGGGGAGTGCGTCAGAGAAGAAATGAACAAGAGCAAGAACGGCATGAAAAAGTACAAGAACAACAACGAGAACAAGAGGAAGAATACGAAGAAGAAGAAGAAGAAGACGAAGACAAAAAAAAGGAAAAGAAAACTCATTTGTTCACAAAAACACCACTTATTTGACACTTTTTCAGGCACCGAAAAAATGAAAAAAAATATATGTGGCAAAAAATGGTTAATTAATGTTTATTACGAGCTGCGCGATGTAAGGAATATTGTGAGCGCACGCACAGAGCCCAACATGATCAACACTAACAACATAACCCTTGCCTTATCCCTATGGCATTGCCGGTGTGCGAAGCTCTACAATAACAGAAGGACACAGGGCTCGACACAGGGCTGGACACAGGGCTCAGTCAGGGCGCACAGCCAGCTGAACATCCTGGTGTTTGCGGGTGGCTGTATTAAGCTCCTTGAGGTCCTTGAGCAGAGATAAATCAGCTATGGTAATAAGAACTATGATTTCACTCTGAAAGACTCTGAAAGATTCTGAAAGCATAGTCCCAGCCTTGACAAGACAGGGGCGTCCACCGTTCCTGCCCTTGAACCAAACATCCGCAAAGCAGCAAACATAACCCAACATGTCCCAACCATTTTCACATATAATCGGCTGGCATCAAACCCAGTGCAGCAACCATGCAACAAACACGAAGCAAACGAATGAATCAATACTGAAACACTCCCCACGCCATGGAATGCCTTTAACAGGACCTAACAAACAAACATATTTAGCATGATTTAGAACCTCTAGGCCGACTGCCTTCCTGTCAGTAGTCAAGTGTTCTTCTTTTGAGCGATGGCAAGATGGCACAAAGCCACTGTCAGAGTTGGTTCAAATCCTTGAGCGACGTTAAGCAAAGCCACATCAGGCGACCGAAGATTTTGGTTCAGGAGCATTGCACGATCTGAAAACGACAGGAAACGATGAGGAAACGCCTGGAAACGTGTCTCTTCACGATTTTCATCGGATGATTCTATAGTATTCATATCTATTCATTAAATTTCATATTGATATGTTAAATTAATTTTATGTGGTTCCAGATTTCAATTGAGGTCACCCACGGGTCACCTGGAAGGCTGGGAGCGGCTGGAACAGCCTACGGGGTCTACGGTTTGAAGCGGCTGGATGGCCACGGCTTTTTGCCTCACATTCGGCGCATTTTTGCGCGACTGGCAGCGCTTTGCGCTGCAAGAACTCAGCGGCGATATGACTGGACCTCAGCTGCAAAGCCACTCGGCTCAAGGCCAAGGTGAAACTTGGAATTTGATCACTGTCTCAATGAATTAGTATGAATTAATATGAATCAATATGAATTATATTAATATGAAATCATATAAACTCAAATGAATTCATATGAACTAAAACCAATTGATACGAATTAATATAGACTAATTTGAACTAATATGAATTAATATGAGTTATATAATATGGATTATGTAATATGGATTATATAATATGACTTGTATAATATGAACTTATATGAACTAAAATGAATTGATATGAATTAATATGAACTAATATGAACTAATATGAATTAATATGACTTAATTTTAATATGAACTATATAATATGAACTATACTATATGAATAATATAATATGAGTTAAAATGAATTATCAAAGGAAGTTGGGAAGCAATCTTCCGAGTTGCTGATGACTTTTTATTCGAGTGACTTTACATCACATAACAATACATCTGACGAAGGGTGGTGAAGTGGTGACAATACAACACATAACAATATACATCACAATACATCACACGACAATACATCACATAACAATACATCACATAATAATACATCACACAACAATACATGACATAACAATACACCACATAACAATACATCACACAACAATACATCACACAACAATACATCTGACGAAGGGTGGCGATGGAGGGAAGCGATTGGTTATAGCGAAGGATGATGACGGAGGGAAGTGGTGACCTAGGGAAGTGTTTCAAAGGGAAGTGGTGACGAAGGGAAGCGGTGACGAAGGGAGGGGGACTTAGGGAAGTGATGACCGAGGGAAGTGGTGACGAAGGGAAACGGAAACGAAGGGAATGCGGTGACTTTGGGAAGTGGTTCGGTGACATGGCCGCATGAATGTGCGCGTGGTGCTGCGAAAACGCATTGCAATGGCTGCATGGGTGTTACATGGGGTTTGTTTTGGGGAGGAAGCCGGAACACCAAACCTTTTGTTTTTCCGTATTAGTTGCATCTGTGGTTGCAGATCGCAGTGCAATGACTGCATGATTGCTGTTACGTGTTGTTAAACAGTTATCATGTGCGTAGATACATGCAGGTTTCACCACGTGATGCTGCAAAACGCATTGTAATGGGGGCATGAATGTTGCATGGACTTGTGTTGGGGTTGTGTTGGAGAGGAAGCCGTTACACTGTTACACCAAACCCTGTGTTTCCGTGTAATGTGGCTGCTGCTGGCGATGAAGGGAGCCTTGTGTGTGTGTGTGGCGGTTGCGGCTGCGATCGTTTCATCGTCGAATCGGTTCTCCCTTGGTGTTCTGCAACGTGTGGTTGTTCATGTGTGCGTACTTTTATGCGCTTCTTTAATCTCTGACTGCAGATCGCACTGTAATGGCTGTCTGATTCTGGTCATGTTCTGTTGCCATGTGCGTAGGTACATGCAGGTTTGCCACGTGATGCTGCAAAACGCATTGTAATGGCGGCATGATTGTTGCATGGGCTTTGTTTTGGGGAGGAAGCCGGAGCACCAAATCTTGTGTGTTTCCGTGTAATGTGTCTTGTGTGCGGCGGGCGCGGCTGCGTCTCGCTTTGTGTTCTGCAACGTGTGGATGCAAATCACATTGTAATGGCTGCATGGATGTGTAGGTCGTGTAATGTGAATGCAGCCGGCGATGAAAGGTACCTCCTGTGTGCGGCGGGTGCGGCTGCGGTCGTTTCGGGGTCGAATCGGTTCTCCCTTGGTGTTCTGCAACGTGTGGATGCAAATCGCATGGTAATGGCTGCATGGATGTGTAGGTGGTGCTGCAAAACGCATTGTAATGGCTGCATGATTGTTGCATGGGCTTTGTTTTGGGGAGGAAGCCGGAGCACGAAACCTTGTGTTTTTCCGGGTAAAGTGGCTGCAGCCGGTCGTTTCGGGCCACTACCCCACCCCTACAGTAAGGGGATGAGCTAGGGTGTGGTCTGTAAAACACTCGCACTCGTAAATCGTATTGGAGTGGCTGCATCAAGGCTGCGATAATGTTTTGTCAGCAGATCTTCTTAATTTGGAGCTGGCGATTTGTCTTTTAAAATTCCTTTTGCAAAGTGCTTCAAAATCGTGTTTTTCTTGCTTTGGCGCCGAGATCCGGTTTTGGAGCTGCAATTTCTGTTGCCATTCTGTACAAGAAAGCTTCTCTGTGTAAAAACTTCTTTCTGTAAAAGTTTGCTGTGTGTAAAAGATTTTGCGTGTAAATACTTGCTGTGTGTAAAAGCTTTCTGCGTGTAAAAACTTGATGTGTGTAAATGCTTTCTCTGTTTGAAAGCTTCTCTGTGTAAAAGTTTGCTGTGCAAAAGCTTGCTGTGTATAAAGCTTTCTGTGTGAAAAAGTTTCTCTTTGCGTAAAAGCGTCTCTCTGCGCAAAAGTTTCTCTGTGTAAAAGCGTCTCTGTGTGTGTAAAAAGCTTCACTGTGTGTGTAAAAGTTTCTCTGTGTAAAAGCTTGCTGTGTGTAATAGCTTCTCTGCGAAATAACTTGCTGTGTGTAAAGGCTCTCTTCGTGCAAGCTTTGTAGTACAAAGTAGTACTGGGACGTACTTTGTGCGTACTTTGTGCAAACTTTGTAGTACAAAGTAGTACTGGGAAGTGCTTTGTGCAAGCTTTAGTACAAAGTAGCGCTGGGACGTACTTTGTGCATAGTTGGGAGTACAGCACAGTACTGGGACGTGCTTTGTACAAGCTTTGTAATACAAAGTAGTACTGGGAAGTGCTTTGTGCAAGCTTTGTACTACGGAGTAGTAGTACTGGGAAATGATGTTGTGCAAGCTTTGCAGTACAAAGTAGTACTGGGCGGGACGTGCTTTGTGCAAGCTTTGTAGTACAGAGTAGTACTGGGACGTACTTTGTGCATGTCTTGTAGTACGAAGTAGTACTGGGAAGTGCTTTGCGCAAGTTTTGTAGTACAAAGTATTGCTGGGAAGTGCTTTGTGCAAGCTTTGTAGTACAAAGTAGTACTGGGACGTACTTTGTGCATGTCTTGTAGTACGAAGTAGTACTGGGAAGTGCTTTGCGCAAGCTTTGTAGTACAAAGTATTGCTGGGAAGTGCTTTGTGCAAGCTTTAGTACAAAGTAGCGCTGGGACGTACTTTGTGCATAGTTTGGGAGTACAGAGTAGTCCTGGGACGTACTTTGTGCAAGCTTTGTAGTACAAAGTAGTATTGGGAAGTGCTTTGTGCAAGCTTTAGTACAAAGTAGCGCTGGGACGTACTTTGTGCATAGTTTGGAAGTACAGAGTAGTCCTGGGACGTACTTTGTGCAAGCTTTGTAGTACAAAGTAGTACTGGGAAGTGCTTTGTGCAGGCTTTAGTACAAAGTAGCGCTGGGACGTACTTTGTGCATAGTTTGGGAGTACAGAGTAGTCCTGGGACGTACTTTGTGCAAGCTTTGTAGTACAAAGTAGTACTGGGAAGTGCTTTGTGCAAGCTTTAGTACAAAGTAGCGCTGGGACGTACTTTGTGCATAGTTTGGGAGTACAGAGTAGTCCTGGGACGTACTTTGTGCAAGCTTTGTAGTACAAAGTAGTACTGGGAAGTGCTGTGTGCAAGCTTTTAGTAGCGCTGGGAATAGTTTGGGAGTACAGAGTAGTCCTGGGACGTACTTTGTGCAAGCTGTAGTGTAGTACTGGGAAGTGCTTTGTGCAAGCTTTAGTACAAAGTGGGACGTACTTTGTGCATAGTTTGGGAGTAGAGTAGTCCTGGGACGTACTTTGTGCAAGCTTTGTAGTACAAAGTAGTACTGGGAAGTGCTTTGTGCAAGCTTTAGTACAAAGTAGCGCTGGGACGTACTTTGTGCATAGTTTGGGAGTACAGAGTAGTCCTGGGACGTACTTTGTGCAACAAAGGCTTTGTAGTACAAAGTAGTACTGGGAAGTGCTTTGTGCAAGCTTTAGTACAAAGTAGCGCTGGGACGTACTTTGTGCATAGTTTGGAAGTACAGAGTAGTCCTGGGACGTACTTTGTGCAAGCTTTGTAGTACAAAGTAGTACTGGGAAGTGCTTTGTGCAAGCTTTAGTACAAAGTAGCGCTGGGACGTACTTTGTGCATAGTTTGGGAGTACAGAGTAGTCCTGGGACGTACTTTGTGCAAGCTTTGTAGTACAAAGTAGTACTGGGAAGTGCTTTGTGCAAGCTTTAGTACAAAGTAGCGCTGGGACGTACTTTGTGCATAGTTTGGGAGTACAGAGTAGTCCTGGGACGTACTTTGTGCAAGCTTTGTAGTACAAAGTAGTACTGGGAAGTGCTTTGTGCAAGCTTTAGTACAAAGTAGCGCTGGGACGTACTTTGTGCATAGTTTGGGAGTACAGAGTAGTCCTGGGACGTACTTTGTGCAAGCTTTGTAGTACAAAGTAGTACTGGGAAGTGCTTTGTGCAAGCTTTAGTACAAAGTAGCGCTGGGACGTACTTTGTGCATAGTTTGGGAGTACAGAGTAGTCCTGGGACGTACTTTGTGCAAGCTTTGTAGTACAAAGTAGTACTGGGAAGTGCTTTGTGCAAGCTTTAGTACAAAGTAGCGCTGGGACGTACTTTGTGCATAGTTTGGGAGTACAGAGTAGTCCTGGGACGTACTTTGTGCAAGCTTTGTAGTACAAAGTAGTACTGGGAAGTGCTTTGTGCAAGCTTTAGTACAAAGTAGCGCTGGGACGTACTTTGTGCATAGTTTGGGAGTACAGAGTAGTCCTGGGACGTACTTTGTGCAAGCTTTGTAGTACAAAGTAGTACTGGGAAGTGCTTTGTGCAAGCTTTAGTACAAAGTAGCGCTGGGACGTACTTTGTGCATAGTTTGGGAGTACAGAGTAGTCCTGGGACGTACTTTGTGCAAGCTTTGTAGTACAAAGTAGTACTGGGAAGTGCTTTGCGCAAGCTTTAGTACAAAGTAGCGCTGGGACGTACTTTGTGCATAGTTTGGGAGTACAGAGTAGTCCTGGGACGTACTTTGTGCAAGCTTTGTAGTACAAAGTAGTACTGGGAAGTGCTTTGTGCAAGCTTTAGTACAAAGTAGCGCTGGGACGTACTTTGTGCATAGTTTGGGAGTACAGAGTAGTCCTGGGACGTACTTTGTGCAAGCTTTGTAGTACAAAGTAGTACTGGGAAGTGCTTTGTGCAAGCTTTAGTACAAAGTAGCGCTGGGACGTACTTTGTGCATAGTTTGGCAGTACAGAGTAGTCCTGCGGACGTACTTTGTGCAAGCTTTGTAGTACAAAGTAGTACTGGGAAGTGCTTGTGCAAGCTTTGTAGTAAAGTGCTGTCGAACAAATATCAGTGCAACAGCTTCGCACAAAGCACGCACGCACGGGCCTGGCTGGCGCACGGCGCATGCAAGTTCTATAGATGACAAAGGTTCTATAGTATATCCCTAAGGCAACTTCTGCCCCGCCTCAGCGGGTACTACTGGCATAATATGAATTGATATGAATTACACAATGACAATTCCCAGAGGAAAAATAGTGCGGACTTGTCAGACTTAAACAGCCATGTTCTGAAATGTGTCCGCTTGGATGCAATTCCTCAGCCTTTTGAACAATGGCGTATTCTTCTCATGATCCCAAGCTTGAATGAATAGTGAAATAGAAGCAGCCTAGCACCCTTCTAGCTCGCATAAAGATTAAGAATCGTTAGGGTTTAAAGGTATTGATCAAGGGTGATCAAGGTGCTGCCTAGGTGCTGCCTACTTGAGTCTTCAGTGTTGCACAGCTTATTGCAAAAACTCCAGTTCTCTGACTTTGGATCCCTGCTGGCGGACGAACCCCCATGCGCGTACGAGTCTGAGCAATGGGAGTGGCCGCATTGTTTGGGGCAGTGGTTGTTGCTGTCGTTGCAGCCTTAGCAAACAACGCCACAAGTTGCTGCCAATGGTGCTGATTGCTGACACTCAAAAAGATGCAAAGCAGAACAGAAAGACAACACACTATACATTCGCAAAGAGCAAAGATGTGAACTACTTGCTATGTGGAATGGGTTTCTCAAGCCCCTGACAACGCGTCGACGGGCACTCTCTGTGGATCTGAGGAGCACAGCAAAAGAGGCTGCAACTGCTTTCACATCTTCTTCACCTGCGTATCCTGCGTTAAATAATACTAGATTTCACTAGATATCTGCATCTGCCATCATCTTCCTATTGTTGCAATCATAACATGTCAAAATTGCCAACAACTCTAAACTTTTGAGGCGGAGTCCAGATGTCAGCCTTGTCAAATCACGAGGAGCCGAAGAGATGGTGGGGCTGCGGGCCGTTGAAGCACGGGGCCTTGGTGAATGTGGGAGTAGCAGCATAGCCAGAAACACAAGACATGAAGCCTAGCAAGGCCTTAAGCATTACATGTGCAATACGTTGTAAAACACAACATGTGGATGTAGAGTGATGTATATAGATAGGTTGCATGGAACGATATAATATTTATTGTGAAAAGCTAATACTGAAACTGGGACCCTTGGCTTTGCCTTCGTTGCAGGGACTCACAACACATGTTCAATCACGTCATAGAGAATCGCATCCAACCGGTCCATCGCAGCTTTTTGCCCCTCTGAGCATACACTTCGACCCTCTTTCAGGTCAAGCTCTTGCAGGAGCGTGCCAAATCCCAACGCTTCTCCATCTTTCAGCATCCTAAGATTTGAGAAATTTGAGAACTGTTTCACAATTTTCACAATGTTGCTGCACACCCTACCATACAATTGAATTTCCCAAAGCTTCAGCCTATGTAATCTATTGCATCAAACCAAGAAACCAAGCTTGCGGAAGGTCGCGCCTCCCTTCTAGCCTGGCAGATTATAGAGCAAACATTAGCAAATATATAATTATATTTATATATATATATATATGATATATAATATAAATATATTTAATTATATACATATATATAATTATATAATGCGATATGATCGAATATGCTCCTTTGAAAAGTGTGTGTGCTCTGTGTGCTCAACTATGCTCATCTCTGTGGTCTCCAAAAGTTCAGAATCTCTGGTGCTCTCTCACCCTTTGCATATTTGCCTGAAAAGCTCCATTGTCTCTGCCAGCCAGTTGTCCTCAAGCTGGAGATGCGCCCTTTAAAGTTCTCTTGGCACGAAAAGATATCTGCAGTCAATCAAGTTGCGAGTCAAACACGTATGCAAGACAAACTGCATAGTCGACATTTATAGTACATACCGAATATGCAGCTGAGATCAACTGAGTATACTTGCCTCACTACTAGTAGGCTCAGTCCTCCAAGGACAGCTACACCCAAGGCCACTCCTTTTGTGCTGCGACAGCGGGGTCACAAGTATTGTCCAATGGTGTAGTACTGTATATAGCGCTTTGAGTTTTGAGTCTGCTCTTCTATATTAGCACGTTGAACACCTACGTCCTGCTGCAGTGCTTGTGCCACCTGCACTAGACATCATCAGGTTGATGGCCCTGTGCAACATCATGAAGCACAAGCTCGGAGGCTTGGATTACATACTTTGGTCCTCGTGATTGGCCACGACCAGATCCCCCCGGTGCTTGCAACCAATCAGCCGACCATCAAGTCGTGGAGCGTCGCGGATGACAACTAAACCTTCAGGGTCGTGTCAATTGTCATACATACAGTATCTATCTGGAGGACCGGACCCTTGAGTGACCCTTTTGAAATGGAACTCAATCAAGGGAAAAGGTTCGGCAACAAAGCCATTCAAGTCATACCACTCATACAATCTGTTTGAATCTTTTTGACAGGTTCACCCATCGACTCAAGGGCTGGGGAACAATGCATAGGATACGCACAGTCCATACCTGCTCTGTGATCCATTGTGATCCAACATCTAGAGTCTGGAGAGTCTGGAGAGTCTGGAGCCTTTGGGCACTCCATCTGCGGTGACTCGAAAGAGCCGCCCTTCCCTGCTCTGAGGGGAGGCATGCACAAACCTGACAGCTCTTTGCATTGACATTTCTTAAGGCCTGAAAGGATCTGAAAGGATCTGAAGGATGACAAATTTCACACAATGTGACAATGTGTGCTTGAGATGGTTTGAGCCTTTGCATCAAGCCGTGCTCCTCTATGGGTGCTTGAAGGTCTGCTTGAGTTGAATGAGTTGAATGAGTTGAATGAGTTGAATGAGTTGAATGAGTTGAATGAGTTGAATGAGTTGAATGAGTTGAATGAGCATCCGTGCGTTTCAAAGACTGAGATCAGCGCACCTTTCCAAGTACCGCCGGCGCAGCTCTGGCAGCTCTGGGGCTTGGAAGTTTTTCCGCTGCAGGGCATCAGCTGAAACGGTGCTCCGCCAGATGGCCTCCCCATCAGCAGTGGCTTTCAAGAGACGACGGAAAAGATCACCTCAGATGGGAAGAATTCGGAAGAATCCAGGACAGGATGAAATTTCCGAAGCAAAAACTCCAACTTGGAATCAGAACCGATGAAAATCTCCAGCTTGGAAGATCAATGAAAGTCGAAGTGGAGACTGGAACTATCTTGACCTGTTTGAAGGCTCTCCGGCCTCAAACCACTCCACCTGCAAACCTGTTGGTCTTGCTCTAACTTGACGTGTCACACGTTTCCAAATCCAAGCTGCCATCTTCACCGTGTCCCTCGCAGCCACTTAGACGTAGAAACAGGCCCCACGGTGACAAGCGAGAAAGGAATGGGACAACATCCTGGGTCCAGTTTGCCGCAGCTGTTTATTGAAAGATAAAAATTGAAATGTTTTGAAAGCACTGAAACATACTGAAACACTATGACATCACTATGAGGCAAAGCCTTTGTTTAGGTCCCTTTGTGAAATAGCCGTTACGAGTACTAGCCACTCCATCCCTGTTCTGAAGCTGTTTTGAATCACTCTGAATCATTCTACTGTAAATCATTCTGAATGCATCCCTGTCCAACTCACAGTCCTCATAATTTAACGCTTCAGCATCCAATTGCAGCACGAGGTCCACTGAGATCTCCTGATAGTTCAGCGAATGCCACAAGGACACACGTTGACGCAATGAGCTAAGGCCAAAAACGACTTGGATTTTTCTTAGTTTTTTAAGCACAAGGACCACTAGGATTGAAGATTATCAAAGGCAATGCCAACAAGTCCTCGTCTTTGAGCTCTGCAACGGAACCATATGTCACAACCGATGTGTCCGGGAACCATGTCCTGAATTCCTGGAAGCAGAGATCCACTTGCAATAACACCAATACAATATAAAACAAGTGCATGTGGAAGGATCATGTAAAAGCAAATCTGTGCTTCCAGCAAATCGAGTCAAGTGGAAACGAGCCCAAGTTCACACAACAAGCATGCCCTACGCCCAAAGAGTTCTGTGCTATCATCTGTGCATGATCCGGTTTCTTGGAGGGTGGTCAAGGCTAGTCACGGTCGGAGTGAGCATGACATGGTGTGCCTCTATCGCTTCCAGAGCAAATGCATGTTGGCGTCTCCGCGTGGCGCTGCAGTCAGCTGCGGGGCGATAAAGAGGATCGACCAGGCGCACAATAGATGGCACTATGCTGTGGCCTCACAAGTACTGGTGACACCACAAGACACCACAGCATATCAAAGATATGGAGAGCAAACATGATCTGGCAGTATGTTGCACATATTCACATGTATTCACATGTATCATATGTCAATATTTTGACAAGAGCTATGGTTTCCGCCCTGTAGTAGATCTCTAATATGTCTGATATGTATACACAGTATACACATATAATTACGCTGTATAAGAATTATCCTCTCTACATTCAGTGTGGCTTTGCAAAGCTAAGATGGGCGAAGCTGAGATACGGCGGTACGGATTCACTGATGATTAAACTATGCTAAGATATGCTAAGTGACAGCGCCTCAAGGTCTCCAAGAGTTCGAGCTCGAAGAGCAAAAATCCAGAACCCAGTGCCAGCACAGAGGCCTGGGTCGAAGGCAATCGAAGCAGCCAGTTGGAACATATAAAAAAATGTGTTCCCGAATAGAATTGAAAATGACAGAAACGGAACAAAGCAACTGCATCGGTCAGTCAGCGCCTTTTGTTATGCAGTTGGCTTTGCGACTGTGTTTCTGTCAGATGCCAATCGCATCAATCACAAATGGTTTCACAGAAACTCTGAACTGCAGTGGTGGTGTCACACGTCAAAATCCACCCAACCCGCCGGAGCGTGAAGCTCGCGCAAGTAAGGAAAGGAAAAAGAGGGTTGTAGGTGGGAAAACACCACTGTACACCATAAAGTCAGCCGCAACCACCTGGCTCCCGAAGGACCTTAGGTGGCGTGAGAGTCGGTCTTACGACGTTTTGAATTTCCTGAAAAGGTGGGGACACTCATCTGGTCATCCAGAAGGGCCCAGAGAAATTTAAAATGGGAAAAAGCTTCACTCACTGGTAGTCGTCGATCAGGATGAAAACCAGTGAAGTTTGGGTGGGTGAGTTCGTCCGCCCACTTGTTGTAGTCCCGCTTCATGTGTGAAGGCGCCAATTGAACCCCAGCAACATAGAGCATGGCGATGAGCTGCATTAGGAAAGCTGAGGTAGGCATGTGCTTCGTCTTCTGGTTCAACAGGGCAAAGACATTGCCTTGATTGTCTGAAATGAGGCTGAGACGGGTACGAAGCAGAGATTTCCCACCCAAAGCCAGAAGGAAGTGGGTAAGAATCAATGTACCAAACATCTCGAGGGTCGCAATGCGTCTGGTTGGATCACCATCCTTGTGAGCCCATGGATGGTCTTCGAGGGGTATCTTGTAATGGAACCACCAGGTCTGTTCCTTTGATGGGTTCTCACAATCTGCAATCCACCCCCCAATGTAGGCCCCATCGTCCGGGTGTGCACTAGCATCACTGGCACCCCACCAATTGGAGGTAGGGTCGTAAGGGCAGGGCTGGATCTGGGGGTTGTGAAGCAGCTGGAGGAGAAGCTTTGAAAAGGATCGTATGAGCTTGCCGGGCTTCCCTGAGGTAGTCGTCGCGGATTTCCATGCCCAAAATGGCTGAAGAAAAGGGCGACTGAGGGGCCAAGCTGCCGTTGCCCAATTTAATCGTCCCAGTGCTCTCTCAATCTCCTTCACCGTGAAGGTGTTGCCCGCAGCAATGGTCTGAAGGAGTGCCTCAAGTGTCTTCCTCTTATCTGGAGGGAAGTCGACCACGGGTCCGCATGGATTGACCTGGAAACCTAACCAGGTGTTGACCTCAGATAACACCGTCTTGTGCCAACTGAGGGGGCATCCCATGGCTGCTAAGAAGAGAAGCAGTTTTGCAGTATCCTCAGTGGCGGAGTCCGTCCTGAGGAGCCAACAAAAATCGTCCACGAACACAAAGCCCCAGTCTATGTGTGGAAACATCATGTAGCATAGTCTGAGGAGGAGTGCCGCCATTCTGCCCCAATAAAGTTGGGCGCTGGCCATACCATAGGTACCCACCTTGTTTATCCACCATTCACCATCAAGTTGTGCTACCTGGTAGCGCCATTCATTGGACTGGACCTTGATGCGGCGGTGTGCTTTTGAAACATCTGCTTTCAAAAGTGCCCAGGTGGTTTGTTTGTGTGGAGGTTGCCATGCCAGGTCGGTGCAAGACGCTACCGTCCCAGATGTCTTCTCCTTCGTGGTGGTTAGCCAGTGAATGGCTTGAACACAGTCCATCACTGTGGGTGCAGTGGTCTTCTCAACTGTGTTTTGTTGGATGTGTGAGTTTGCATGGCCCCAGCTTCCGTCGTAGATTGTGCGGATTTTATCTCCTTCGTCAATTGCCGCCAGGGGCCCTGGGCAGAGTTCATCTGGGGTGCATCCACAGCGGAGTGCAGCCTCCTCCTGTGTGAGTGGGCCCTCAACCATACCCATATCTACCTCTTCCACGAAGGTCTGTCGGACCTGAGAGGAGAAATCTTTTGCCGAGGGGTAGTTGTCCCTGCCCATGGGTATTAGGAGGTCCTCCCACAGAGGGGATTCTCCTTTGAGTTCTTCCTTGGTAGGCCATATACCTGGTGATGTCCAGGTGGGTGTGGTGACACCTAAGGGGACTCCCTTGGCAACCCTTGTGGGGTAGGCCGCATCTGCATCTCCACCAGCTTCCGCTAAGGCTGAGATGAGGTTCAGATAGAACGGCTGGCCTGGCTCCATCTCCTCAGCAATTTGGTAGTCCAGCCCGATCCCTTGGGCAATGGCCCGTCGTGTCTCCTGAAGAAGTTCCTTCGGGAACGGATGTTTTCTTTCACCCCTGTTGATGGACCGTTGGACGTCCTGTGCACATCCTTTTGCCAGGTGGCTAATGGAGTCTCCAATGTGCTTGATCTTGGACTGAGGTCTGAGCGGGGGAGGTCGTCTCCCGGCTGAGGGCTTACCTCCTCCATCCCGTAGAGGTCTAGTCTTGAAGCCTGATTGAACGATGATCGGGTCGTCATCCAAAGTCATCGTCTGGGAGAGGGGTACCGATGAGGAGCGGTCCGTCCGACCTGGAGGCTCCCCTTCCTGTTGGCACCCGTTGGGTTGATGTCCTGTGTTTGGAATGCTCTGGATGATTGCTGCTGCTAGCCCTGTCATCAGTGCTGGCGGGTACCTGCTGAGGTCCCGGGAGGTCATCTCCATTGGCCTCAAATGTCCAGAGTGGTTGCACTGGAGGCCTTGCCAATGGTGAATTGGAAGGTCCGTTGAGAAGGTTGTACTCTTCTGTGCCCTTTGTCCCAGTCTGCACTGGTCCAGGTGGATCTGGCAGTGATTTACCTCTTTGGCCCACTCCTGGTAGACTCTAGTGGCCCATATCGATGAACATTTTGCCGCCGTTGGTGCCCGACTACACTCAGCTGGGTCACGAGGGTGTTCCAAGAACGAGTGGAATCCTTTGTTTTGCCTGGCTTTTGCGGCTAGGGCAGTGATGACCAGTTGCCGGAGCAGAAGGATACTGTCCTTGTCTGTGTCCAACTGTTCTTCCAGGGAATTTGAGTCAAGGCCCCATGTCTGGGAGGGATCACGCCCTCGTACTGGCCTGGGCGCTCCAGGCTTTGGAAACCATCGTAGGATGCTCCAGGTCCGGCAGTTGGGGCCGCCCCCCACAAATGACAACTGGCCCCTCGCGGCGGCGCAGCAGAGAGTTGAGTAAAACTCATCATCCAATATGTCGTTTGGGCCCTTTTCTGGTGGCCTCAGGATGTCCACGGCAAGGATCCTGGGGGCCAGGTCCTGGTGTTGTTGGATGAGTATGTCATCCAAGGCTCCTCCGTCACTCCTGCCGGTGTAGAGGAGTAGTATGTCCCTCCCTTGGAGGCTCCCCGTGGGTTGTGTGGTCCATACAAGGCGTTCCAACAGCCTGTTGGGAACCGATGAGAGCCATGGACAGTGCCCAAGCAGGGACTGTCCATTCATGATCATCGTTGTATCAAGTGGTCGGCCCACTGCCTCTTGTTGTGTATGTGGTGTGCTTGTGTCGTTGGGGTAACCTGGGGGAGACCCCCCCGGTTCCGTTGTTGCTTGGTTTTTGACAGGTGTTGGGGTGTCCATCAACCCTGGTGGGTGATCGGTGCAAGACGCTACCGGGTCCGCCAGGAGTCAACGGTGTGGGCATTGCTCTGGGGTGTGTTCTGAGGGTGCGGCGTTGCATACCCAGCCATTCTTGAGGACCGGACAGTTGTGGGAGCGTCCGCAGTTCCCGGGACATTTCTTCTTGAGGAAGTGGTCACGGCAGTACTGTACTCCCTTGGGTGAGATCTTAGCCCAGTTTGAAGGCCATTCAGAGTCCTTCCCTTTTCCGGATCCCATGGCCCCTTTGGCCTTACCCCCTTTGGGTGACCCTTTTTGTTTGTTCCATTGTGGCTGAGTTGGTGACCACGAAGGTTGGCGTCCCTTTGACTTGGCTGGTCGTGTTGGGGAGTCAGGCCCGGAGCCTTTGTTGCCTTTCTGCCGGGCAACAGACTCATAGACCTCTCTGGTCCAAAACAGGGTGTCCTGACGTAGTTGGGCCATGGCCTCCTTGAGGCCCAGTCCCCCGTAGACCAAGTTGTGGATCTCCCTCCATGCGTTCCTTTCAGCGTAGAGGAGAACCTGTTCACTGGGAGGCGGTCGCCTGTCCGCAATGTCTTTTCCCCAGAACCATCGGTACCAGTCCTCTAGGTCCCTATGGGTGATGTTCAGCTTCGGCATGCTGGGAAATGAGAGGATGGCCATGAGGAGGTTGGTTCGAAAGACCAGGTGCATGTGCTCCAACTGACGCCTCGTAGTTGGGAGTTTCCGTGTCTCCTCCTCTTCTTCCTTTTCCCATCCATCGACCGTCACTTTCTTGGTGGTCTTGATAGGCCGCTCATCCTGGTCTGGTAGGGCTGATATGATGTACTTGCTGGCAATCCAGCCAACTTCTCCTTGCGCACAGAGTTTGAACTGTTTCTTCAACAAGGCATCCGAGCCTTGATCCTCCAATCGTGGGAGTGGGAGCTGGACGACCACCGTCCATGTCTGCAGGAGCTGGCGTCGATCACACAGGGCATCCAGGGAGGGCGCCGCCTGTGACGTCGTCGGCAGTAGCCCTGCAGGTCCCACTCGGCCCTGGTTCAGGCCCCCAGTGCCCAGCAACTGTTGTGCTTGACGGACACATTGTGAAATGCGCATGGCCAGGTGATTCGTCTTCTCTTGTGTGATCAAAGCTCCCCCACGGTCTGTGTGACGGAACTGGAGGTCTGCTGGGGAGTTGTTCCGGGCCTCCGTGATGGTGGGCCATCGATCGGCAAGGTCCTCCACCGAGCGGTAGCCATCTGATGCCATCCTTGCCATGATGAAGTATGGAATCTCCTTGGACTGGAAGATAGTCAGGACTTGTTGGTGAAGCAATTCCACCTGATCCTTATATTGCTCAGGCACCGCATCAGGTGGGGAATCCAATACATCAGGCACCGCCGCCATGTTCGAAAAGTAGGGCAGTGGTGGGTGGGTTCGAAAGTAT